CCGATAGGGGCCGCTACCAAATTCCGCCACAATCCTAAGTCCCTCGTATTGCGTGTAGCTACAACTCCTGTACGAATCTACCTTTCAGAATGCCTACCAGTCTAGTGAATGAACATCGTATGAGCCGTCAACCGTCATATGTCTTTCTTTGACTGGATCTAACATTTCTGATGATAAAAACAGTATTTTTACGGAATGCCCAAGGCTACTGGCAATGCGTTGTTTGCCCCGGACGACGCTTCAAGCCTCTCAGCAAGGCCATAGCCCATGAAGATTCCAGGGCACATGTCATAGCTGTCCGGGTTAGAGATCAAGTACCGCCGCCCTCCCCGACCCTTCTAGCACAACCAAATCCTACTGCCCCCCCTTCGCTAAGACATCCAACCGCCGAGACCTCACCAGGTGCTTCCCCCTCCCCGTCCCCAGTTGAAAATATGGCGTGCGCTTCTTCCAATAATATCGACCTCGACCGTTACATACCGCCCCGTGTCATACATGGACCGGCCCTGTCTGAAGACGACGAGGACCAGATATACGATGACTGGGGCGGTCTGATGGCCTTGAATCGCCCGTCCTCATCTGAGTTTGACGACTTCAAGCCTTCGGGGGCTGTCGACCCTGACGCTACTAGTAACCCACAGGCGTTAGACTTGGCATCCGCGGAGATGGCACGGGAAGAGTCCCCTGTCCCGGATGTTTTTCTGGGCTATGATGAAACATTTGTTGATCTACAACAAGGCGAGTAAAACCTTCAGTACATGTGTTCATATCTGACTCACTGCACACAGATCCGGATTACATGCCATTACCCGACCGTGCGGAGGATTGGTGGCCATGGTCTTCAAAGGAGGTGGGTCATCTGCCGTTGAATTTGTACTTGGTGCTGGTTAACCTGTTTGAAAGGAGTGTCTGCTAGACGTCATGGGCACGTTTCCGCGCGCTCTATTCTCGGAGATGGAATTACAAGCAATGCGTTGGTTCGCGATCAAGAATGGGGTCGAGACGTTACCAACAGTCAAACAAGTCAAGTACCGGCGCTCCAACATCATCGACAATGCAGGTGTGGCCTCACATACGAGAGAGGGCCGGCTTGGTCATCTATACACTGTAAATGACTGGAAAGCGATCCTCCAACATGTGAGTTCTTGTTCATAAATGTAAGTACACATTTACGTACCATAAAAGCAGGAGATGGCCAATCCTCTCGTGCGACCGCACCTCCAATTCTATCCACAAGATTCCTGGCCTCGCCTGTCAGAAGCATGTCAAGCTGCGCGATGGCGATACGAAATCGATGGGAACTTGGCATCACCAATGGCTCGTAGCAATGGAAAAGATTACTTTGTAGAGGAGGTATGTATGGCAGATGAGCTGGGCAATATCGCACCTGTGATGCCAGTACAATGGTTCCGAAAGCAGGACCGTCTATGGGCCACGGTGCATCGCCTGAGGCTGGCGGCACATGGTGATGCTTTTGTGATTGATGGTCGTGAAGGGAGTGCATTCGAACTGCCGCTCGACGCATTCTTCCTTACAGTCATGGAGTTAGCGGAACTCGAGACACAAAAACGTTATGCCATACCACCACCACATGCCATTGCTGGTGAGTACTTAGTCAGCGGATGGCCTTACACACACTGCTTGTTTGCCTGACTTGCGACCACAGGCGTACTCCGCAGTGTGGATGATACCTGGAAGCTCGAGCCTTGGCTAAGTCCACCTGTTAATCCTCTTCGGACCCGTGCAAATGGTAGAAAAGTGTACTCCCTGCCAATATGGCTATACTGCGATGACACGTCAGGAAATGTGTCGAAAAAATGGAATAAGCACAATTCGGTGCTGTTCACACTTGCCGGTCTGCCACGAGATCATGTCCAACTATTGTATAACATACACTTCATCGCGACATCAAATCTAGCGCCACCACTAGAGATGATGGAAGCAATCGTGGAAACCCTTAAGTACGATCGGTTCATATGATTGCAGCAATTACTCACTGCTCATGTTACAGGGAATTGCGTGCAGAGGGATTCGAAGCATGGGACTGTGTTGACAGGGAGTTCGTGTTGCTCCTGCCCTGGGTACTGGCATTTCAGGGCGACAATCCTATGTCTAGCGAGTTTGCGTCACACATCGGAATGACGGGCAAGTGTTTTTGCCGGGTGTGCCATGTCCGAGGGAGTGACTCGCAGAACCGTGCGCCGGCTGAGGCCGGAGATATCGAACAGCTAGCTGAGTTCCTGAAGGTAAGCACCACATTTCATAGGCTATCAAATATCGCATGTCACTCACCGGGACCAGGCAGGCAGACCTCAGACGAAGATGGAAACAAAGGAAGCACTGGAGGCGCAGCTACAACGAACTCTTGATGGCACACCAAGTGCTGTTGACAACATGGCGACAGAGTCGGGGGCCAAGGACAAATACTTTATGTACTTCCTTGATAAATAGGCGGCGGAATGTGCCCGGCTCAAAGCATCCATCAAGCCTGCTGATCTTGCCCCTGGAACAACCAAATCCCAGAAGGTTAGAGAGGGACTTCAAGCGTTTCGAGCGCAACTACCCACAAACCTGTTTAACCCTTGTCTGGATATCCCAGGTAGCGTGGCCAGTTCATTCTGGTGCAACAGTGTCATTGACAAAAGGTCAGATTTTGATGCAAATCAGGACTCACCGGTGGAAATCTTGCACGTTGTCCTCCTTGGAGTAGTCAAGTACTGGTGGCGCGACGCTGTTTCACGTCAGAATTCCAAAGGCAAGGAGGAACTCAAAACCCGCCTTTCGAGCATAGATACTGCAGGCCTCGGGACGTCTCGCCTTAGGGGACACACGCTAGTGCAGTATGCTGGCTCCCTCGTAGGCCGGGACTTCCGACTGATCCTTCAAGTTGGACCATCCGTCTTGCATGGATTGATCCTAGAGACCCACTATAAGGGCTGGTTAGCATTATGCCGGCTGGCTCCGCTCTTATTCCAACCGAGCATCGAACACATGGATATCTATGAAGTGAGTAATGCGAGTGCTATATTCTCGTCACTGTCTAATCA